CCTACTTATCCTGTAGAAACTTGGTATTTGCAGGAAGGTATTTGAATCAGGGTTGGAGAACAAAATCCTGATCTGCTCTGTGAGTTCAGTTTTGTGGTTATGGTCATGAAGACGTCTTGAGTTGCATTTGAAGTGCAACAGTTGGATCTGATTTAATTTGCCCCTACATTTCCAAATGATTAGGATTCAGTTGGTTTTTTTTTTGTTTGCCTTTTGTTTTGCATGCAACCGTGTGAAAACAAATAACAATCTTTAATTAAAAAAAAAAAATCTGATGGCTTCTAGTCGGCAGAAGCAGGGAAATGATCTGGATGATGGAAAGGCAACCTGCAAGGTCTAGCAGTCAAGCAGCTTGCCAAAGTCACATGAAAAGATAAAAAAAAAGTCCCATGGCTGGACAGCAGTAAAAACAGTGCATATTTTTTGCTCAGGGGTTGTACAGTCGTGGTAAATACGCTGCTACTTCGGAGGGCTGAGCAGTCCAACATGCAGTCATGATATTTGGATGCAGCCTCAGGAAGACAACTTTGTTCTTGTTTTGAATTTTGTTCCATTTTATGTGGTTCTTAGACCACAGAAGGAGAGCTTTTGTTGTGCAAAAATGAGGTTCTCATTCATCAGAGTTGGAAAAAAAAAAAAAAAAACCCTGAAACTTGTTCAAGCTCATACGCTCTACTTTTTTGGGCTGTTTTTTTTCATGAAACAAGGCGTGACACCGTGAATTGACTTAAAGGTGTTTTAGATGTAGAACCAGGGACTTTCACTCATCCCACTCTGCCACTTGTCTCACTTTGATGTTGCTCTCCCCTTTGCGTCCTTTCCCTCTAGTTTTTTTGATTGCAAACGAGCCCAGCTTGCCTGTGCATGAGAGGGAGAAGTGAGATCAGGAAAATGCTTTTTTACCAATTAGATTTTTTTTTTTTTTTCCCCAGTTGCTTGATTAACAAAGCTGCTCTTTAAAATGTTGGCCTGGACATGGGAGTGAAGGAGGTTTAATGCAATTGCCTTGTTAGAAGAAACTTGGGACTAGAGGCAGCAGAGAGAGAGGTTTGTTAATAGCTTGTCTTCTGCTGTGCTGTCCTGTGGAGGTGATGGGGGATGTTGAGCTGACCTGTGAGCGTGCTGAGCTGATCAGGGTATGTGAAAGGATAACTTACTGTCATGGGACTGCAGCTCATCATGCAGTTTCTTGGGATCTGGGGAAGAGAGCAGACACCTTCTAGTGGAAGGTGTCCCTGCCCATGGCAGGGAGGTTGGAACTAGATGATCTTGAAGGTCCCTTCCAACCCTAACCATTCTATGATTCTGTGATTTTTGGCTTCAATTACCACGATGGAGGTTGAGCCTCAGGGTGACAATAGCCCTTCTGCTGGAAAGGCTAGGTGGTGGTTGAGCACCAGAATCCCCTTCATGGGAGACTTAAGAATGGTTTTCACTTCCAAGAGGCTTATAGTAAGAGCAACAAGGAAAAGCACGTTCATGTAGTTGCATTTGAGAGAGCTCATGGTACGCACAAAGAAAACGGAAACTGCAGCCAATGAGCTGGATCTTGTTGCCGACTGTAAGGGAGGGAGGATGGAGTCAAGCTCAGGTCTCCCCACCTGGTCGCTTTCTGCATCCCTGATAGTCAGAGCCATTCTTGAGAACTGGCTCCTGCCTTGTGTTTCAACCTAGGGAAGGAGTACATCTGCCTTCCCATTGTCCTTTCTTCAAAAGCAAGAGGCTAATTTCTTCATTTTTTTAAAAAGTGGAGATGAAGGAGGAAACACTGAACCAGTCCTGTCTGCTGGCAGACAAGCAGTTGGCCCTAAGTGGCCTTACACTATGACGTGCCTTATAGTATCTGAGAAAAGGACACTTTGGCTATCGTCTCATAGCAGGTCCATAACACAGTGCCTCCTGCTTGCCCCTATTAATTTTCTTGGTTCCTAACCTGTATCTTCAGACTTTGTTTTTTTTCCTGGAAGAGGTCTAGGAAGATAAAGCAATTTTGCTTCTCAAAGAAAGCCTTCAGAAAGCCCCAAGACTTTTTCATACAGATTTTTTGAAGTTTCACGAGGCTGGAAAAGTGCTCCTTCCCTTACTGGGTTGCAGCATTTCTGGTTGGTTTTGTGTGTACGTGTACTTAAAGCTATGAATGTTGGCCATAAGCATTTGAAGGAATGGTCAGCGGCTCTGCATGATAGAAATAGCTTTTTTAATTAATTGGTGGTGGTGGTGTTGTTTTTTTTTTTTTTTGCTCTGGCATTACTGTGCAGTTCCGTAGGAGCCTGAGTCAGGGCTGTTGTCCTGACCCTGCTCGAATGGCCTTGCCCTTGCCTTGGGTCTTGTCTGACCACGGAGCAAACAGGTTTGGGCAACACCACCACCTGAAAACGAATCCCTCGTTTAAGGATTAGACTTTTGTCACTCGTAGCTCCTTGATCAGACAGTTGCGGCATCGGGTGAGTATCAGTGCTGGCACAGGACGGGAGAGGAGGAGGAGGCATGGGAACGGGGCTGTGGCAGGATGAGTTTGAGCTGCCAAGACGTGTCCTTGGCTGGATGTTGCTGAGGTTGCACCGGGAAAGGGTTGGAGCAGGAGACCAGCACTGAGCCAAATGAACATCGGCCCTGGGCTATGAGAAAGCTTCCTGAGAGCCTCTGCAGCTTTGTGAATTTGAATCTGGACTTCTCAAATAACATTTACATCGTGCACATTTGAACTTACGGTCTCATTCCCCTTTCCTTGTGCCTTGTACTGTCCTTCACACTTTTTGTAAAGTGGGTGTAAAGTACTGATGTTCGATTTAATATTGTTTTTCTCACTGTGGAACGTGTAACACGACGATAAAGGCAGTGGAGAAGTTGAGACCGCTTAAATTTAAAAATCCCCCCCCCTTTTGTTTTTGTTTAAACCATCTACTTAGAACTGCTCCGAATTCTTTTATTGCTGTTTGGCGCTGAGCAGGTGCAGAAGGATGGGCAGTGGGAGAGGGACGATGGAACGTGGGAGCGCTCAGGATAACGTGACGAGGGACTGAGTGAGTCACGCGTTAGTCACGTCACTCCCTGCACCACTGGCAAGCGGCGGGCAGCAGGGATGTGGACGGCAGTGGCATCTGCAGGGATCTTTATACTGGAAATAAAAGCAAGGCAGCAAAATATCAAGCTCACAAAAGCTAGAACGTCCCAGAATTAGTGTTAATTAAATTGGTGCTAATTAAAAACCACTGGGCTTTTTTTCTGAAGTTCTGCAAAGCTATTTTGTTTAGTAGTGGGTTTTTCTTTTTCGAGTGCAGAACATGGAAAACGAACAGCAGAGAGTTTTGTAAGCAGCTGAGAACGGGGTGTTGCAACGCGAGGTGGTGGACAGCAGTGTTGCTGGCAACTGCCATTAGGGAGGGAATTCTGCCTGAGTAAGTAGGCAGTATTACTGGTATCTCTGTGCTCCATGGAGTCAGCAGAGGAGAACCAGCGTGTTGCATAAAATTATGCCAGGCTGTGATTAAATGCCATTCTCGCTGCTTTATCCGTATTCCAGTCCTTTATTTATAGCACACTTCTGCGTTGCAAACGTGAAGAGAGATTTGCGTGCACGTGGCTGGAGAGCACTCGGGGCAACGGGGTTCCAGCACTCAAGAGCACCTGGAGGTCTGTGACCTGTGTCCTTTTTGCACCTGCGATGGGCTGCAAATTCCTGGTGCAGATCCTGCTGGGGAGAAGCCACGAGAGAGAGCGGCCGTGGGACTGGACTGCCCCATGTCCGTTTGGCCTTGCTGATGCCCAGATGAGAGTTCAGGCTGCACAAAGGCAGCTCTGGCACTCGCCCTGCATCTGCATCCTGATGAAAGAATCCAGACTGATGTTCAAGTGATGATGGACGTGTATCTTGAGTGCTCTTAGCATATCAATCATATCAATATTTCATGGTCCAGTGCTTTGGACTTGCCTAAATTAAATTTTTATTTGTATTTTTTTTTTTCTAAGTACTGATTCAAAATTGCTCTCCTTTCCTTTGGAGCTGCCCATGGTCTTTCCAGCCTATTCCAGACACCTTCCCCTTTCTTTCAGACTCTTCCCAGTTCTCTGAATCTCTTTCTGATCCTTCAGATGCTTTTGCCACTCCTGATGAAGGCATCTTTGCCAGCTTTTGCACGGTGTTATCCCTATGCGTGCACATCTAGATTGGGTTTTTCCAAACGTGCAACTGAGAACAAGCCCAAACCATAAAGTTATGGTTTCTTTTACATGTGTTAAGGTTTGCCGTTCATCTTCTGCTCTGTGGTTGTGTAGGGAGTGGCACAATGAAACCCACCTCTGGTTTAGTGCCTGGACAATTCTGCACTAAGTGTAAGACATAAAACTGGGTTTGTACTTAGTCTCCTCTTTTACTTTTCTCATTCTTCCCATTGAGTCTCTTGTTGAGACTTTAAACTCCTTTTAGAACTTCTGAAAATTTAATTTCATGTACCGTTTTTTCCAGCAGTGTCCAAGTGCAGGAGTTTCTTCACTCTAGTCTCTCCCCAAAATCAGGGACCTGGTGGTGCCGCTGGTCCCGTGTGATGGGCACTGGTGGGGATGAGGGCAAGCAGCACAGGGATGATGTTAAAGACATCACGGGGTGGGAAATCCTTTGACAGCATCGCTTGGTGTGGGCGGTCTGGAGCGGCACCGTTGGGTTTTTGTGGCCTGAGGCATCTCCCAGGAGTCCCATAGGGAGGGTTAAGCAGGCAATGTGTCTTTTTTTTTGAAAAAGTAAAGGATATTTTAGCAGCTTGATAGTATCCCTTTATGAAAGCATTTATATTGGTATTCTGTTAATAGCAACGCTGCTATTAGCAGGGTCCGAGTCCACATCTTTTCCTTTCAGACATTCTATCACAAATTATCAGGGAACAGCTCCTGTTATTTCTTTTTACTTGCTACTTAGTACTGTGGAGGATATAAAAACCTTTCTCTGCAGCAGGTGAAAGGCAGTTTCTAACTGAACATTTTTTTTTTTTCTTCCCTGTCTTCCAGACTTCATTTTATGGCAGATTCAGGCACTTCTTGGACATCATTGATCCGCGCACTCTCTTTGTTACTGAGGTAATGTATACACACCTTGTTTTCCGAAAATACTGTTTATTAGACAGCTTTGGATTAAAAACAATTTCTTCTGTGAACAGCAGAAGTAATGAAGCCAGGTTTCCAGTGGATTTGTGTCTCTCAGTTGATTGATTTCCCAACTGAGGTTTGTTAAACCCCTGGCAGAAACTTGCTCTTTATTAGACATCAGTGAATCCACACCTGTCAGTCTCTCATCTCCCTCTAGTAACTGGTGAGACCCTGAACTGGTTTCAATCAAACTTGCCAGGGATGCCTCCTTCTCAGAAGGAAAATTCCCACAAGAAAAAAGTGCAGGTGAGTAGATGAGAGAGCAGATATTGATGCTTTGTGGAGGAAATGAGCTGGGTGGGCTTGCGCCACAGTTTTTCAGTGGCTGCGCCCACAAAGACCTTTTCTGAGCAAGGTGTTGTCGTTTTTCCTTAGTTATTACCCTGTTTGTAACAGACTTTTGGATTTCTGGCCAATTGTGTTTCATTTAGAGTTGTCCAGCATTGCTGTGTTTCCCTGCTTTCGTAAAATACCAAGCTAGTAGTTATGGGGAACTCCTTAGAAGAAACATTTCTACTGGTGATCTTAAATTCTACCAGTATTGCTTTCGTAAAATACCAAGCTAGTAGTTATGGAGAACTCCTTAGAAGAAACATTTCTACTAGTGATCTTAAATTCTACCAGTTGGCCAGAAAACTTAGGATTTTGCTTTCGGTGCAGGGCAACTGCCTTTTCTTTTTCCTTTTTATTTTTTTTCTCTTTGATTTTTTTTGAGGTGGGGGAGCATAAGATGAAAACATATGTGCAAACAGTTCTGAAAACACAGGGAGCTGAACTGCTTGCTCTAGCTAGTGGTGAACTGAGCCCAGTTCCTTACACACTGTGATGATGGAGGTAAAAAAAAGACCCAACGCAACTTTAAGTAGTCTTTTCTTTCTAAATCAACTAGCTTTTTTCAAAAACATAAGGCTAAGACGTATCATGAGTACCTTTTGGATGCATGCCCACGAGAACCGCAGACAATAAAGCAGCTGTTTTTACACCATTATAATTTCCCTTGTAAAAGCACGGATTCAGATCAAGTCTGAGATCAATTTTCAAAAAGCCCCCAACCTTGACATGGAGCTCAGCCTGGAGAGGTAACGTGCTAGCAAAAGAACATCGCGATTCCAAAGAGACTGTTAGCCCTCATTGTGTCATGATAAGAGGGAATGAAAATAACAATATTACCTGAGGATGCAGTGCACTTTGCAGATGCTAGAGCTGCTATTTAAAGAAAATGTGAGCACGTGTGCCAGAACAAAACCAATACTGCACATGAAAAGCTTAGTGCTACTCTTACCTTAGCAGAGATTTTGTGTTAAGTGCAACGCAACGTGTATCGGGAGAGTGTGTTTGATGGTGTGGGGAATCCTGCAGTGTGTGTTTGCAGTGATGGAGAGGTTATTGTATGTAATTTGTGAGCTCTCTTCATATAACTTCAGAATTCTAATTCTGAAATTCATAAATGGTTGCAAAAGGCCTTCACTGCCTAATGATGCTTTTTGGAGGGAAGGAGAGGATACTTCTCATGCAAAAGGGAGTGGGATGTTGGAGAAAGGAAACAATCTGCAGCCGTTTTTGTCATGCACTGAGAGTGCTCATTAAACACCTAAAGACAGTGAGGACACTGAGAAGTTAGAAGTTTCTGAAGAGGTTGGTGGAACAGGGCAGAAGGCTGGTGTAGCTTAATTTTTCCAGACACCCTTTGACGAGGTTCTCCTAAGAAGGGGAGACGCAGGAAAAAAAAGGAGTGAAATCCAAGTTATCCATTTTCATCCTGGAGACAGCTGTCAAGACCCAAGTGCCTCAAGCAGTTCTGGACCCCAAACCAAACCTCAATGAAGGAGGAAGGTTTGGTGTCTTCCTGTGGGGTCTAATAAGCATAGGTCTGAACTTCATGGCCTTCAACAATGGCTTGGTGGCTGTCTGAGGAAGGAAATGCTCTCCGTGCATTTTCTTTGGGAGTTTGAACTGTATGATGGTGATGCTTCAGTAGAACTTCTGCTGTGGGTTTCGTGAAGTCTATGTGAGCTCCCTTCACCTGCAGAAGTCTCTTAGCAAGAGAGATATGAACACCTTGGCTCATGGGAAGCACTTCTCAGAGCACAAAAGCTGCTTTGTTGATTGACTGACTTGCTGTGCTCTGTGTATCTGATCTCGTGCTTTAAAATACTTTCTATATATGCGTAACTAAAGGCTGTTTGGTTTCATTTGATAATTTAGGTGGCAAATTAAGATCTAGAAAGGGTTTGATGAGAAAGCAGACGTTTACAGAGAGCTCCTTCCCGCTGACAGATGGCTGCATCTTTCAGGCCCGGGGTTCTCGGGGAACAAATAAATTGCTGTTTGTCTTGGAGGAGCTCTCTAGCAAATGGGGGAAAAAAAAAAGTAGATAAATAAGTCTCTAATGAGAATGGAGATGAATCCCATGGAAAATGCTGGGAAATGTAATAATGTGGGTTTTTTTCCTAACATCCTTTTTTAATGCCTGGGTGTTACATCATTGCATCCTACTGGTGGCTGTGTTTTGAGGAAGGATGAAGTGATCCCTCGGAGAGGGGGAAAGCAAGCAAAGCAATATCAAGTATAATTAGTCTCATTACAGTTCTCCCTCACTCATTTATTTTTTTCAATGGGACAAATTCTTAACACAGTTAAAAACTTCCTTGTCTTTTGGAGGTTCTTAAGCATAAATCCTCAAGGGACGCATACTGAGTACTGGATTATGCTGTAATCATAATTATCATGTAATTATGCTGATTTTGTCATGTAATTTTGCTGATTTTATCAAAATCAAAGTGTGTGCTCGTGCAAGGCACGTGGCAGGGGGCGGTTGGAAGCCACTTGCTCCAATTTTACCTTTAGTTGGTTCTGGTAGAATAATTACCTATGTCAAACTCACCTACCAATTTTACTTGCTTTCTGAGTGCATATGATATTGAGACAAGGGCACCAACCTTTTCTTGTGTGCTAATTGATATAATTTCTGACTTTCTAATGAGATAGGGTTTTTTGGCAGCTGTGAATTTGCAAACTTTTCCAATAAGCAGGAAACGTGTCATTTCAGAGGTCAAGTCCAACAAGTCCTGTCGCTGAGACCATGACAAACCCTTCAGTGGGTGTAATGCCTATTTTCGAAATGTGTGAGGTTAAAATGATTGCAATAATACTTTTAATTGCTCTATGATTAAGGTCCATCGGAAGAAGCAGTAGGGACCAGCAGATATTTTTATAAGGCTAACTTAGTCCATCTGACATTAGCCTGGACAGACTGTTAACGCTCTGGGGGAAGCTCTTCATGGAGAAGGCTGTGGATCTGAAAATAATTCAAAGCAAAAGTGAAATAAGGATTAAACTGAGCTCAGAGGGGCTGTGTGTTATCTGCTTTTGCTTTATCTCATTGTTCAAAGCATAAATCTACAGAGTGCTGAGCATCTTGCATTCCCATATTTGGGTTTAAAATGGAAGCAGGATTAGATGTATGTTATTTATATGAACGATACCTTCTTACTCAGCAGATTGACTGTCTGTGTTTATTCAGTGTCACATCTGCTGGCTCTACTTGAACAAAAAGTTTCTGGCTCCTGTTGTCTGTCACTGTAGATCCAATACAATAGGGCCAGCTGGAGTCAAGTCTGCCGTATGTGTCATCATCCATAGAGTAGTGAGACAAAATCAGAAGCTGTTGTGTCGCTGATGGCAGAGCACAGCTGGATTTCCGTATCCCACATTGAATTTGTGGCGCCGGTGGCCAGAAGACTCTTGCTTCGGATCATATGCCACTAAGTCATCGTTGGTCTCAACCTGAAACCAGGGAAACTCGCAGGCACACAGCAGATCATCACTGGGCTAATGCAGCCTCAGAACCCCGATACAAGCCTCGTACGAGCAGAATGAGATGCGAACTGTTCCAGCGTGCCCTGTCCCGTCGGTGGATTTTGTCTTAAAAGCCTGGAATGCAAAGCCTGACTCTTTTTCTGTTGATTCTGTAACAGTAATGTTGTAGTGCTCCTGGCATAATGACTGTTATTACGGTCTGTATGTGCACATATGGGTTTCTGGAGGCAGCTCTAAGCCGTTTGTAGACATCGGTTGAGATCCAAGAGAAGACAAGGCACAGATCTTTGAGACAGAAACAGTGTGCCCTTGAGCAAGGAGAACAAGGTGGAATATCAGTACAAGAGCTCACATGCTGGAAGGAGGTGTCTGATGTGTATACACCATCTATGGGACCCAACACAGTTGTCCTCTATCTTGTCAAGATACTGGAGTGATGGCCGTGAGGGGCTTGGGGCGCCAGTGAGGGATTCCTGGAGATTGCCATCAGCAGCTCAGTGTGATGTGGGCTGCTGTCTTGCTGGCATGTCTGATTTTGTTCTTTCTCTTTTCTTTGGCATGCCGAACTAAGCCTCTAATAACGTGATCCTTCAGCAACTCTTTCTACAAAGGCTGAAACATTCTGCTGATGTAGTCCTGCAAGTGTACTCCAGGCAATGACCTTCTGAGTTATTGCCTGTTGGCCTGAGTCAGGGCAGAACAGGTTACATCAGCTCTTCACCCTAAAACCTATAGGTTAAATCTAAGCCAGCTCAACCAGACTGGATTAGATACTGGTTTTTGTCCGTGCAGCCAGCTGATGTGGCTTGTGCCACGCAGCTGAGCACTCTTCCTCTCCAAAAGATGCCTGCTGGCAGCTGTCTTGACCCAATGGTAACTCCAAAACTTGTGACTGGGAATAACTTGGCAGAGGGTTGGATGGTCTGAATCAAAACTACGCCAGAGACCTTGCTGATGCAGGCTCATGCTTCTCATGGGCTTCGTGAACCAAGCTGTGGTTCAAAAGCTGGATGTTTTCCAGCTGTGTTCAGTGTGAGGCAATAATTGAGCTTTTTCCAAAGACGACTTGTTGGTGGATAGCGTTTCCCAGGTGGACGTGGCTTGGGCTGCTG